AATGTGGGATGCAAAATGCTAATTGTCAAATACCAATTGCAAAATGCATTATAAAACGTCATATCCTGTTCATGTCATGTTTGTGTGCAACTGCATGCATCTTTCTTTGGTGGGAAAAGTTTAAAATGGAATGCCTTTTAGATAGAGTGCCAAATTCTTCGAAGCTTGTTGCACACACGAGAATATATAGATATGTCTCATGTAAAACAATAGAATTACACATTGACAATTAACATTTAACAATTTGTAATACACAACTGGCATTATGCATTTGACAATTGCAATTCCGGACAGGAACAGCAAATAAGACATCGTGCTTTATCAGTATGGGCCATTGAAAGCACAGAAATCAACATCAGATTATGGTATCTATTGGGAATGAAGATCAAATATAATAATACACGACCTTCAAATTAAGCATAACAAAATGCTGATTGTCCTATGCCAAATGCACTATACAAGACAACATTTTATTATACAGTTACCATTGTCTAGCATTTTGAAGCCGACTTAATTTGGCCAATTTGCTTTGAATGATTCTGCCTTCAAAACTCCTGAGCAGACTTCATACAAATTGAATGCTTGATGCTTGGCCCAAAGGAATCAATTGAAACCTCAAGAGCTGGAGATGACAATCTCATTAAAATCGGATGTTAATAAAAAAAAATACCTATGGCTACGTACATGCAGTACGTAATGATGAACAAGTGTATTTATTAGCTCACTGGGTCCGAAGGACCAAGGTGAGCTTATGCCATACCGTGGCGTTCGTCGTCTGTCAACAATTTCTTTAAACGACGACTTCTTCTTAACCACTGATTGGAATTTAACTAAATTTGACGGGAAGCATTCTTAGATGGTGGGGCTGAGGGGCAGTGCAAAAAGGGGGCAATTTGGCTATATTGCTTTAAGCGACTTCTCTGGAACTAAGAAATGGATATCAACCATATTTGACTGGAAGCATCCCTAGGTGGTGGAGATTCAAAATTGTACAAATGGTTGGGCTGACCCCCCAGGGGGCTGAGGGGCGCGGCCAAAAAGGGGTAATGTGGCTATATTTCTACAAACGACTTCTTCTGTAGAACTACGCACAGGATATCAATCATATTTAATCAAAAGCATTCATGGGATGCAGGAATTCAAAATTGTACAAATTGCGGGGCCAAAAAGAGTTATTTGGTTATATTGCTTTAAGCAACTTCTTCTCTGGAACTAAGTGATGGATATCAATCATATTAGACTGGAAGCATCCCTAGGTGATGGGGATTCAAAATTGTACGAAAGGGGGGCAATTTGGCTATATTGCTATAAACGACTTCTTCTGTAGAACTATGCCATGGATATCAATCATATTTGGTCGGAAGCATTCATGGGAGGCAGGGATTCAAAGTTGTACAAATGGTGGGGCTGACACCCCGGGCTAAGGGGTGGGGCCAAAAAAAGTTTATTGCTTGGAAATAGTTGAGATCCCCACCATATAACCACATATACAATTGCTGAGTATAAAGAGAAGAAGGCACATTTGCCTCCAGGATGGACCTAGGGTCTGGCCCCACCCTTGGAAACAGTCCTTGGGCCATAACTTTAAAACTGTTGAGATACCCACCCCAAATCTATATATACAAAAGCTGGGCATAAAGAGACGAATGCAGTCACGATGTTAGAATAGACCCTGGGGTCTGACCGAACCCCTAGGGACCTAGTTTCTTAGTCACAGCTTGGAAACAGTTGAGATCCCCACCCTATAAAGAGATGAATGCACGTATGCTTCCAGGATGGCCTTCGGGACTGCCCTACCCTTGCAGACTTAACCCCTGGGTCATAACTTCGAAATGGTTAAGATCCCCACCCCAAAACTATATATACAATTGTTGGGCATAAAGAGACGAATGCAGTCATGATATTAGAATTGACCCCAGGGTTTTGCCCCACCCTTGCAGACTTAACCCCTGGGTCATAACTTTGAAACGGTTGAGATCCCCACCCAAAACTATATACACAAATGCTGGGCAAAAAGAGACAAGTGCAGTTATGATATTAGAATTGATCCTAGGGCCTAGCCACAACCGTAGGGACCTAGTTTCTGAGTCACATCTTGGAAACAGTTGAGATCCCCACCCCATAACCATACATAACATTGCTGGGCATGAAAAATTGAATACAGATATATATGCTACAAGGATTGGCCTTGGGGTCTGGCATATTCCCTTGGATCTCATTTGGAGAATATTTTGCCATGATTGCTTAGATATCCAGGTGAGCGATACAGGCCCTATGTGCCTCTTGTTCCGATTGTCTAGTTGGGCACTCTAACCACTTGTGCTACCTGGTTGCCAGTAGCAATACTGGAATACAGGTCGTGGTATTTCGTTTTGGTATTCTTCTTGCTGCTACATTCCTCCTTGAAGACAACACTTTTATAACCCTGTTCAGGTATTCCCTTGTCAAGTATTTACTCCGTACTTGTAACAAGGGTTATTCACTGGCACTACTGTAACAGGAGGGAAAAAATGCATGGCCAGACTGGGATTTGAATCCTGGCCCTCCATACTCCTATATGCTGTACCAATTGAGCTACTAAGTTACAAGTGACTGACCAAAACACAAAGAAGCCTAGAGTTGTGATACATAGCTAATCACTTGCTGGCATGATACAAATGTAGAGAAAGGAAATAACATTGTTTTTTATTCAAGGTCACAGGGGCCAAATGTGTTAAAACATTCAAATAGCTTCTGAAGAACTCAAAAATCCTGGATTCCTGATATAAGTTATAAGCTTGCTAGCATGGAGTGCTTCAAAGTTGGAAAAAGGAATTATCTTTACCCGTTTTCAAGGTCATGTAGGTAAAATCTGTTAAAACATTTAAATGGCTTTTAGAGAACCAAAAGTCATGGTATGTAGCGAGAAACTTCAAGGTATGGAGTGCTACAAAATCTTGGAAAGGAAATAACCTGGACCTGAATTCTGGATTACAAGGGTAAAATATGTTTGGCACTCCCAACTGTAGCTTCTAACATAGTGATGCCTAGAATCATGACATAGCCAGTAGTTGCTGGCAATTAAAAACTGTTTGAGAAAATGACCTTGACCTATATTCAAGGTCACAGGGAACAAAACTTAAACACTAGAAGAACTGCTGTAGTAATAAGTTGAGGGTTCCCAATGGTGCATCTCACACCAGTAACCATAAAAGTGGACCAAAGTCAAATTAATTCAGCTACAGGCCAAATATTTTACCTATGAATTTTTAACAAAGTTGACCCCTGTGACGTTAAAATTGGGAAAAGTTATTCGACAAACTTGACAGACCTTTGTCCCAGTGTGTTACTATCTAAATATCACCCTGGGCCTTCTGGTTTTCAGTATTACTAAAAATAAGTGTTTTAGTAGGTTAATACATTTGACCCCTGTGCCCTTGAAAGAAGGTGAAGGTCATTCGTTCCAGATATCATCACCCTAGGCCTTTTGTTTATTGAAAAAAAGGTTGTTTTTAAGATTTTAACATATTGGACCCTTGTGACCTTGAAAACAAGTAAAAGGTTACTTATTTGAACAAACTTGGTAGTTCTTTATCGTAGCATGCTACTTACCAAATATCGTCACCCTAGACCTTTTGGTTATTATTAAGTCTTTTTAGGTCACCTGAGCTTTGTGTGTAAACTTTTTACATTTTCAACTTCTTCTCAAGAACCAGTGGATGGATTTTTTTCAAACTTAGTCAGAAGTGTCCTTGGTAGATGAGGCTACAAAATTGTAAAATTGAGATTCCTACCCCAACCCCTGGGGCCAGGGCGGGGCCCTAAAGGGAAAATTAACCAATATTTCAGAAATCTTCTCCAGACTCAGAGGTACTACAGTGATTTTCTCTGCATGAAAAAAAAGATCATCAGGGGCTTTATTTAAATTGTAAATTTCAGGACCCCCGAGCTATCTGTTCTCCCTTGGGGAGGGGGTAAAGTTTACTATAGTTTATATAGGGAAATAACACTTTAGGGTATGTTTTGACAACTTTCTGTAGGAAATTATTCTTACTTGGTGAGAATTTTCCTTGGAGGAAGATTGTTTCAAATTGTAAAATTGAAATTCCTACCTCAACCCTAGGGGCCAGGGCGGGGCCCCAAAGGGAAAATTAACCAATATTTCAAAAATTATCTTCTCCAGACTTGGAGGTACTACATTCATTTTTAGTGCATAAAAAGAAAGATAATCAGGGGCTTTATTAAAATTGTAAATTTCAGGACCCCCGAGCTATCCATTCTACCCTGGAGAGGGGTTAAAGTTTACTATAGTTTATATAGGGAAATAACACTTTTGGGGATATTTTTATCCATTTTCAGCAGAAAATTACTCAAACTTAGTCAGAATCATCTTTGGTGAATGAGGGTATAACATTGTAAAATTGGGATTCCTGCCCCATCCCCAGGGGCTAGGGCAGGGCCCCAAAGGGAGCATTTACCAATATTTTCAAATTCTTATGCTTTGATGACATACTTAGTGTACATGCTGATTTCCACATCACATCTAAACAATAAAATAAAGCTACAAGTACCTATGATATAACTCAGGTGACCGCTAAGGCCCTTGGGCCTCTTGTTTAAAGATCTTGACACATTTGATCCCTGTGACCTTTGAAGTTAGTTAATGTCACTAATTTAAACTTTGGTAGCCCTTTTATCCCAGCATGGTACTGGCAAAATATCACCACTTCAACATTTAAGTTATTAAGAAATACATAGTTTTACAGAATTTTTAACACAGACTCGTGTGACCTTGGAAGTTTGTCATTCATTCAAACTTGGTAGCCCATCATCCAAGCATACTACTATGCTTTTATGTCCTTCTTACCAGCATGCTACTGGCCAAATATCACCAGCCAGGCCGTTTTTACTTGGGAGTTTTTGAAGGGAAAAACATTTACGACTGAATTGCTGCACCATGGCATATATAAGCTCACTAGGCCATTTGGGACAGATGAGCTTAAAAACAAAAGAACAGTTTCTAGAATTCCATCACATTTTATTTCAGCACCTTCTCTTGCAGATCATTGTACAAGGGCTTGCAACAAACCAGAATAACAGTTCTCTTTATTGAATGAAAAAATATTATGAACTATTCTCAAAAAGATGAGAAAAATGTATAAATATTTTTTGAAAGATGAAAATGTAAAATGCTATCACCACATCTAGTATAGCTATAAGGCAAAGTGCTCTTCTAGGACACTTCATGAAATTGAAAATGGTAAAATACTATGTATTGAAGACATTATTAAATCTGTAATAAATGTGTTTCTCCTTGCATGTATATCCTGGAATACAAGACTAGCGTCTACTCTTTTGATCAAGGGTTAAACAAATGAATTCACTAGTATGAAATAGAAACATTAAAAAAATGAATGAATACTGTGTGGAAGTTATAGAAATGTTTTGACACTAATGAGCAAAAACAGATTTACATCTTCAACAAGCAAAGACATTTGCTAATAAATGATGTGCAAGATTTGCTACTTACTGAAGTTATATGGAATATGCATAAAGCTTGCTGGAAAATTCTTATAAAGGTTCTAGCTACCTTGTGAGCAGGTTGCAATTTCTTATCCTCGTTTTAAACAGCTGAACTTTTTTTTAAACTGCGTAATGTCTTTCTACATCACTGTAGAAAGTGTGGACTTTCCCAGTTATCGATTACTGCTCCTGTGGAATGTATAAAATTGTTTTTTATGTACTGAACTTTGAAGCTACCATGCTAAAATATTCACCAAGGTTGAAGGGTCAAAGGAGTTTGCAATATGTGTTTAACCATTGAAAATATATTATAAGCTGGTAGCTGAAATATAAAGCACTAATGTTATAATTCCAACTCTTCTTAAATAATTCAATAACTTGTTTCAATTGAAATCCAAGGGATCGCATGTGCATGTAAGAATTTCAAGTAAGAAATCTACATTCTAAATTCTAAAGACATGGTAAGGATAGTATGGTAGATTTAAATTTTATAAATTAAGTCTAACTACTACAGACCTTGCAAGAATAGCGACTAAGTACTACAGACCTTGCAAGAATAGCGATTAACTACTACAGACCTTGCAAGAATAGCGACTTAGTACTACAGACCTTGCAAGAATAGCGATTAACTACTACAGACCTTCGAGAATAGCGATTAAGTACTACAGACCTTGCAAGAATAGCAATTAACTACTACAGACCTTGCAAGAATAGCAACTAACTACTACAGACCTTGCAAGAATAGTGATAAACTACTACAGACCTTGCAAGAATAGTGATAAACTACTACAGACCTTCGAGAATAGTGATAATTAATTCAACTATTGTGGGGAAACATGGAGAAAGAATAACAATAAAATGTTTTCCTTTTAAAATACATCTGTACCAGGCTTGTCTCATTTTTGTTGAATGATACATTTTACAAAATATCAATCTTTCTCTATTAAGAGAGTTAATTGTTACCAATAAATTAAACTGTGAATGTCAAGCATAGTTTTATAATCTGTTTAAAATGTATCTAGTTAATTATTAAGATTTTCCTTTTACATCAAAATGACTAATATTGAATTTTACCTATAATACTACCATTGGTCAGTGTTATACGTGGAAACCTAAAAAACAAATGGTGTTTTTATCAAAGGGCTCATTTCTGACCGTCACCGGTCAAACAATGATATAAAAATTAACACACATTATACATGTATTGCTTTTTTCAAAACCAAAAAAAAATAAAGAAAAACTATTACCTTTGCATATAAAATGTCTTGGCCTTAAAGAAACAAAATTGGAAGGAATTACCAAGATTTTTCCTGTTATGCTTAGTACCTAAAAAATGATGTACTTTTTAAGCAAATATGACATAACAAGACCAACATCTCATGTTGTTCCTTAAATAATAAAATCTTGGACGAATAAAACACAGAGCTTAAATTGCAATCACAATGCAATACTGGGTGTAAAATCTGAAATATCAATAATACTGGTTTAATACTTCAAGCACTGGATTAAATCATTTAAATACGAGACATTCAGCAACTACATACTGGCAATGACTAAAGTAACATCCATTCAAAACAGTCACAAACATCTAGTGTGCATAAAAAAAACCCATTGAAATTGTAATATATAAGAAAAGTATACTTCTTTCACGTATCTTCAATAAGATTCATCAGTTTGGAAATATATATGCAAGATCAAAGTTTTATTTTATATAGAAACAATTTACGTATTACACTCTATCGATAGACGAAAGGTCCTGGGTTGGGCGACACATGAAATATACAATTTAGTCACATCGTTGTACAGGTAAACAATACAAATCGCTCACTCAGTCATAGCTTCACAAAGGGACCAGTCGGTCTTATTTGAAACGTTAATGCAACACATTTTATGCGTACATTGTTTGTGTACAATAAAGTAAAACTTTGATATCATACTTCTTTCTCCTTGCTTTAAAATCTCCAGATTCAAATCCATTTATCAAGGGTTCAACAGATGAATTCATAAATTTGAAATAGAACTTAAGCATCAAATTGAAATAATACTGCATGGAAATAAATATTAACATCAACAAGAAAAAATGGATTTAGCATTACAGAAACCGGATTGTAAATAAACAGTAGCTGATCCTTGTCACCTAAGAGATATCACAATTTTTTTCCATCACATTTCAAAGCACATGACTATGATGAAAATTTCTTAAGAGTATATTATTTCGTGATTGGCCTTCAAGCTCAAAAACCAATCCATTTGATTGCTAGTACCATTGATACAGGATTAGCAATGATCATGATCGAAGTGGGGATAAGTTGTAAAGCTGTATCATGCCAGTACAGTATATGATTTTTTATTGCTATATCATTTTCACAACTTTTTAAAATAATTTCACCCAAGACATCTTATACTTCATCAATGCAGTATGGTGTTTGTAACCACATACTGCTGGGACTAAGGGCAACACTTTGTTCTGATGACAACCTATCGCATCCAATAACCCTGGGTACGAATCCTAACCATTACTGAAGGTATACTACTTTTTGATATTCAGAGAGAGATCATATAAAAAAAAAACGGGATTTTAGAAGATGATAGTATAACACATGGATTACAGTTATCTACAGAATTTTTTTTTATTGCAATTTGATTGGTTTTCTCCTTTTTTATTATATTTTCAATTGAAAAGTCAACAATTTTGGTCCCATCTTTGATTTTATCATCAGTCAAATTATCCACTCAAAAAAAACAGATAAACTGAACATTATACATTTATGACTCTGGCGGTAGGGTGATATGAAGGTTTGTTTAACCTCGATCAGCAGTTGTATTCCACATGGAAATGAGGGAGACAATTCATCATGTCACCCTTTCACCAAGGCCATCAATTCTTTATCTTATGAAATAACATTCAATCACAGACAAACGCCTTTCAAGTAACTGTCATGTTTTGATAACAAAATAATCAACAAATAAATGAAAATATAAATATATCAACAACAACAAAATTATCTTTTAAATCTGGATGGACAGTAATGTCTGTATTTTTTGTTGATGTAGGAAATGAGGAGAATTTAGTAGATGCCCTACAGAAAGACAGAGAGCTGACATCCCATGGAAGGGCATGCCTGCAGAAGACAATATTTCGTTCAAATTTGAACTTGTGGTACTGTGAGAAATAATTTGTCTCGCTGCGTTCTTAACCTTGACCAACATTTTGATGAAACACCTACGCATTAAAGCTTAAAAAGAAGGAAGTTCTGATGACTATATAGATGACTATAAACCGATCCCTCATGGCAACTATTCAAAGTACAAATATTTTTACTTTCACAAAACAGATATATGAACAATCAAAGTACCAGAAGCTACAATGCTGCTAATTTAGACTGGCAAGGCTCGTTACCGATCAAGAATTCTCCTACACTACATCATTTAAAAATTGGCAATTGTTTTCACTTTGAAAAACACCATGTTCATGCGTCTTTTGTTGAAGCATTACATCAAGGAAATTACATCCATCCATCATTTAAATAAACTGACATATAAAAATAATCATAATTCAACATTCAACACAGTAAGAGACATTCACAACAATATAACACAGTAAGAGACTGTACTGACTATAACTTAGAGCACTAAATCTATCATGACAGAGTGTAATTCAGCATGTATTCAACTGATCAATTAATCAATGGACAAAAACAAAACAAAAGGGGGGGGGGGACAACGTAAATAAATTGGGTAATATTGCATATACATGTACTTGCATCATATATTTACGACAAATGATATACAGAGCACAGAAAGCTACCTTTATGTGACACAAATTAACATAATCCAAAACAGCACAATATATAAAACAAGTAGAATTTAGAAGAGAATTAAATTTTCTATAAACAGTTTTTGACAAACCGTGTCAAACCGTTACAATACCTAATAGTCACTGGTACAAATGTAAACTTTATAATATTGTGGCAGATTTTAATTGTACATATATGTCAAACCGTTACAATACCTAGTAGTCACTGGTACAAAAGTATACTTTAATAATATTGTGGCAGATTTTAATTGTACACAGGATACCATTTGCCTTATAGCTTTGCACTAGTGACTAGAGGGATTGGAATTTTCCTTTAGCTCAATCGGTAGAGCGACGGACTGGGAAGCTTGGGGTAGCGGGTTCGATCCCTGGTGGAAGCATTACTTACCCTCGTTCCTGTTACAAATTGATAGTGTCCGTGGCCCTCCCTTACGGGATGTGCAGGGATTTAGAACCTGGGTTGTGGTGGTGTTCCAAGGGGGGAGTAGAGTGGCAGATTTTAATTTTACATAGGATATTAAGGTTGCCATTATTCTAGCTTCGCGCTAGAGGGAATTTCCCTTTAGCTTAATCGGTAGAGCGGCAGACTGGGAAGCTCAGGGGCGCGGAATAAATCACCAGTGGAATCACACTATTCTCATTCCTGTTACAATATTAAAGACAATATCTAATGATCATTGACATATTTTCAATTTCTGACATGGTCGACTCTTATAAATCAATTAAGTCTTCCTTGTTCACAACAGTTACGTAGATGTTATATCAACCATTATAAATTTCCATACAGAATGGTATTCCGTCTTTGCGTATTGCCGAGTTATCTTCCCTTGTGAGCAGGTATTGATTGTAACGTCATTGGTTTGCGTGAGAAAATTACGTCATTTTCTCAAAAATTGTTGACGTTACTCTCACAAACAAATGAAGTAACAATCAATACCTGCTCACAAGAGCAGATAACTCTGCAATACGAAAAGACGGAATAGGACAAAACAACAGCTGATTGACTCAGTATAAAACTGTTTTGTTATATCTGCTATATCTAAATTGTTCTACTATTAACTAAGAAACCTGTAAAACATCTTTAATAAATAACCACATTCTTCGACTGGATCAATTGATAAAACACAAAAATGTACACAATCATAACAAACCAGTAATTCTGGGTTAGGGGAGATAAGTTTGAATGCAAGTCAAATTAGGTATATAACATTAGCATATAACATAAACTCAATTGTGTTTGGACCAACACAATATATGTTTGAGTTAACTGGAAGTTCCAAGATTTGTTAGGAAAATAAAAAGGATTATTCATGTAGGTTGGAGCGTTTAACTCACTGAAGTATATCTATTTAACTACAGGACTTTTACTGTAAAAATCCTCACAGCTTCATATATACAAAGTATGTGGACAAAATGTTCCGGTAGTACAACAGAAACAAACGAGAAACAAACGATTGTGAACCCTCAACAAGACGTATGATTCAAAAATATCTCAACAAGTGATTTCAAAAATATACTTTTTAGAAGTCTAACATTTCTATTCTAATCAATTTCTGTCTAATTTCAGATTTGACTCGATTACTGTAACAGTAACAAACATATCATATAGCAAAACAATCTTGTCTTTGAGTCTGTTGGAGAACCATCTCATCACTAACAAATATGTGTGTTCCCCAAAGGACATCTGCAGCTACTTAACTTGACAGGATTCCACTATTTTCATGTATTCTAACATCTAATAAAAGATTTCAGTTTATAAGTGGACAGGACATTTTACCAATAAGATCGATAAATGAGAGTTTTGGTCCAATATTTACTGTCCTATTGGCTATGACGTCATTTCAAATCACTCAAGCACATGAATAACATAATACAGACAAAATGTTATACACAAATGTGCTTCTTAATATGTCACTTGGTTACTTATGGTTTGTAAGTAAACAGCTCAATATGACCACTTCATATACACAAATGGAATACTTTGCAATAAATATGTACACAGCCTGGTAATAAGTCCATGGAATCACGATCGTATACATATAAAGAAATCTATAAAAGCTCAGCTATGACGTACACTACTAAATCTGGATCACAGGAATATAAAGAGCCGAGCTCAAGTAAAAAAAACAGTTTACTGGCTGCTCTATCAATACTTCACAAGACTACTGATTCCTTGAGCAAGCACTGAAGATAAATAAATAATTTGTATATAGAGTAGAAATGATGACGCAATGCCTGAGAAATATGGTCATTAAATGTCACAAAAGGGCAGCCACCGATGGGACAGCCACCGAGATCAGAGTTGAGCAGATGTTTGTATTTTGTGTCACTGGTCGACGTTCAGATAAAACTGTCAGGTTTCCATATTCAGGAGAGAAAGATGAGTCTATATAAATTAAAAAGAATAAATTTTATCTCCATAAACCTTTCAAGCAAATATTTTCATGATTTTATTATAGACATGTTTTTATTATAGACATTAGACATGATTTTATTATAGACATGATTTTATTACAGACATGTTTTTATTAAAGACATTCAACATGATTTTATTATAGACATGATTTTATTATAGACATGTTTTTTAAGTAAAAATGCAAAATGGCAATGATTACTAGCTTGCAATATACATAACTAGCTTGCAATATACATAACTTTATTATATAATATATTAGAAAGATCAGATTCATTTCAAGTAAATGTTTTGGTATAAAATAAGGTATTGCAGTACAACACTGATCCCTGGAAAAAGTTAAAGTTGAAAAATGACAGCACTTGATTTCTGATATTGTCTTAAAAGTATCTGTTTTCTATTTATAGTTGGCAACGGTGACCTTGACCTTTGACAATTCAAATTGGAAAACTATCCAAAACGTTTGTAAGGTCTGTATGAACTGAAATTATTGTGCAGAAAACAACATTTTACTCATGGCCTTGACCTGTGGCTTTAGGACCTGAACAGCACTTTGAGGCAACTTTATTTGCTAGGGAAGCAATGTGTGAAGAATGAAATTAATTCACTACTGGTAATTCAAGTTACCAGGTTATATTGTAGAAACCATTATTTTACCTTCGTCATTCAGTATGACTGTTGTAAGATTTTATTATCATGTAGTGTACTAATACTTACACCCGACTCATTTATCCTGAAGGTCGGATCATCCTCATCTGAATCTATTCCGAGCCCATGATCATGTCCATCTAACGAGATCATTGGACAATCATCTTCTACCTCTTCCTCCTCCTCCGTACCGAGATCACTGTTCTCCTCCACGATCTCCACCTGTTTCTTTACGAAGTTGATAAAGACCTGAAATAAAGAAATAGGAAACAATATCAGTATCTCATCATAGTATAAACTTTATTTATTTTACAACAACTATGAAACAAGTCATTTCAACTTATATTAATCACTCTTGTTGGCCGGATGTAAGCGCACGTAGGGTCTTCATGTGGGAGGAAACCGTAGTACCCGGGGAAAACCCACATGCTCAGGCAGGTGACCCTTTACCTTTCCACATCCGATCAGGGAAACGAACCCGGTTGCCTTGGTGAAAGGCGAGTGCGCTATCAACTGCACCACCCGACCACCCATAGTATCTCAACATAAGATATCAGAACCCCAGCTAACCTATGACAAAGAAAACCAGATATACTTGTCTCAGATATTCACTTACAAGTAAGATTCTGTCATGTTGTCAGTGTTCCTTCGGAACTTATTGATGAGTTATTAACAGAGAATCTGTATACTAACAGTATCCAAGGCAGTGATCATCTGAATTGCACCAAATTTTCTACTTAAAAGGGACATCTTGTCTCCAACCCTAAGATTTAACCTGGAAGTAAATTAGGGGATAACCCGACTGTATTTTGAAATTTCCGGCTGTATATCATGATTAAATTATGGCAAATTGAGTTTCCGCGTCACCAGGAAAACGGATATATGCGACAGTATAATCACGATATAAAGCCGCAAATTTCAAAATACAGTAGAGTTATCCCCGTAATTCATACCAATCAAAACCACCAAAAGAAACGATGATTTGAAGACATTTTTGAGTGTTTTCTTCAAATTCTGGGTCTCTCTTCTGTGGATTGGTGACATCAGAAATATGAAAATGAGGCGGAATTAAGTTGACCTTTCGGGGTCACGCTATTGTTTGTGCATCATTAATATTCAATTTCATGACGTGTCAGAGTCAGTCGGGGTCATCTACGTCATTAACAATTGCCATCCGGGCTTCATATGCAAATTTGCGGACGGTATATCATCGCTTTACTGTCGCAAATTCTTTTGATTGACCAATCAAATACCTTGTTACATCTCAAATGAATTAAAATACCCCTTGAGAGATGAATTTGTTCGTAGTTTGTTCATTGGGTATACTTACATTGTCCAGCGTGTTTTGACTGACAGAGTAGTCTTCTATATCAAGGTCTTTCTGTGCCTCCTCTAGTTTGTTGAAAAGCTGGGCCAAGGAAACACTCTGACCCCGTAATTCATATTGTAGTAAGTTATAGTGGTGCTCCTGTAATCAGAAATTGTTAACAAAGGTCACAGTGACGATCTAGTAGTATCTACCTGAACATTATGAGACATTTCATATATACTTGAGGAGGTATCTCAAAAACTAATTTAGTATATCTGACTAATTTATGAGATATCAATGAAACATTTAGTAGTCAATTTGAGATTGATTTAAGATAGCATTATTTCATTTAAAGACATTTCCATTTCATTTGAAGATATCTCTCTTGATATTAAATGATAAGTTGGTTTGGTATACTTTACCATCAGATAGAGAAGAAAATCATACCTTTAATACTACACCAGGGAATTTTCTGTCCACAAATCTCTGGACTGTTTCACTGGAATGGTCAAAGTCTGGTCCCTTCAGTCTGATACTGAATGTGTAACCGTCTCCATATCTGTTTTTCAGGTGCTGTGCACTGCCCAGACACTTAAACTGACCATTCACCATGATGGCCATTCTTGAACACAGGACCTCACATTCCTCCATGCTGTGAAAGAAAATGTGTATCAGCCATTATTTCTACGTAAAAGTTAGAAACATTGACAAGCTAATGTCCTCACCTCATTATCAATTCAATCTTGAGTGAAATTCAAAGTCAAAATGTTATTCACATGACGAAAGTGTGGGTCAATTCAGCATTACCGGTAGGTGTTTATCCTACAGTTTCTGTCCGGCAATAAGCCTATGCCTGGTAATTAGCCCACCCATGTCTAATACTGCTCAGTAGAAATGCTAGCAGATGCTACTCAATTGTCCTTCAAAAAAATATGACGTCCCTTCTTTCAGTCAGAAATGATGTGTTGTCCCCCTGGACTTATTGCATGCAGGACATTATATATCTCCCAACTAATACATTCTAAAGTAACCCCTGATGGCACAGGGTGTGGTAATGGTAGATGTCAGAAAAGTAGAAAGGCAAAAGTTAAATGTTTATCACATGTACATGAGTACATAACGTCGTAACTGAGCTCTCTCCCATCTTGATTTTGTCCGAACCAGAACTGATTTATGATAATGACAGTGTATAACAAGTCAGGAATTCTCGCCAAAGTGGCCAAATTACCTGGTTCTAGGCATTCACTCATTGACAATCTGGTTTAGACAGAATACATTGTACAAAGATATTTCTGTGCTATGTAATGCATCATACTCACGTTTGGTTCATGAGTAAAGTTACCAACTGAAAATTTTATAAAAACCAAGGTTTTCTCAGAAGTACTGTGCAACTATTTTTTTTATAAAAAAACAAGGTTTTCTCAGAAGTACTATGCAGAGTGAAAGAACTAGTGTTTCCTAATTTTTACCTGTGAGATGTAAGGATAACACTTCGTCCGTCTCGTACAAGGCTGAGGATGAGATCCCACAGGAATCTGCGGGAATGAGGATCCATACCTGTGGTGGGCTCATCCTATGTAACAGAAAATACATATCAACACATGTAGACCATATACATACACATTTACACATGTATTATACATCTGTGGAAGATGCTGTTATTATCTTAAATTGAAGTCACATGAGAGGTATCTACCTAGCAGTGACATTGACCTAGCTTATCGATCTGACTAACAGATCAACAGGTACATAAAAGTGACCTTGACATGAATTCAAGGTCATATGGGTCATTTGATGACCTTGGACAGAAACATTTACTCTCTGCTGGGGCACCTGTCTGTGATAACTAATTAGACCTTCACATACGCAGATGGTATTACCTAATACAAATTAATACATAGAATAGAAACCATCCAAGAGTAATTAGTACTGTACAGATACTTGGAAATATTCACCATGAAGATGACGGGTGGATGGCCTATGAGAGCTATGGCTGTGGACAGCTTCCTCTTGTTACCCCCACTGTAGGTTCCTGAAGTTTTGTCAGCATACTGTGTCAGACCAAGCTTCTTTAGGGCCCACTCCACAACCTAAACATCACACAAAACACTTTCAAAATACTGTACAAACTCCTTATTATTGGTTTAAAGGGAGATTAGAGAAATATACTTTTACTGTAGATATTGAGTGTAGAGAAATATAATGGACTCACTAAGAGTAGAAAAAGGTACTTTATCTGTAGTGTTTCTAAGAAGAGAAATGTACTTTTTTTGAGAATAGATAACTATACTTGTTACAGTATAGATTAAATGAAGAGAGAAGCAGAGAAATATACTTTAATATAAGTGATTGATAAAATAGTGACAGCAATATATAATTTCTACAATAGAATTGGATGAGACTGTCTGTCCGATACGACTAAAAGAATTAGGTCACCTGGCTCAATTCATTTGAAAGACATCTGTCAAGATTGATATAAGCATACAGTACTTTATAACTACAGTTGTAGCGAACAGATTAAGCAGAGAGAAATCAAAGGCATCTTCTCTCTAACAAATTATTTCAATCCTGATGATGATAAGTTTACATTTATCAAAGTATCCCTCCAGACCCAGAGGTAGATAAGGCCCTACCTGTTTCTCCTCCTTAGGCGGTATTCCTCGCAGTCTGGCGTACAGCTGGATGTGCTCCCGAGCTGTCAACTCGTCAAATAACGCATCAAACTGCGGACAGTAGCCAATCTTCTGTTGTAATGACAGCATGTCTTTACGCACACTGGTGAAAATTAATTACAGACAAAAATTAACTTCATCTAAATACAGCAGATTTACCTGAAGGCTACAAATCATATGATAAAACAATTCGTGTGATAAATACGTACCTGCAAAGAATTCAACAATGTTACACGAAATAATACAATATGTTGAAACTTGACTTTGAAGCCTTTTCAAATCAGTAAATTTTATTGTGAATTACCACTATCCAGCCATCACGAATCTGGTTGTCTTACTATTCAGCCAAGACTAAGTTGTCCAACTATCCTGCCACCACTAATACAGTTGTCCTACTATCCTGGCACCACTAATACAGTTGTCCTTCTTTCCTGGCACCACTAATACAGTTGTCCTACTATACTATCCTGGCACCACTAATACAGTTGTCCTACTATGAAACCACCACTAATACAGTTGTCCTACTATAAAACCACCACTAATACAGTTGTACTAATATAAAACCACCAATAATACAGTTGTCCTAATATGAAACCACTACTAATACAGTTGTCCTAATATGAAACCACTACTAATACAGTTGTCCCACTATCCTGCCACCGCTAATACAGTTGTCCTACTATCCTGGCCCCACTAATACAGTTGTCCTACTATCCTGTCACCACCAATACAGTTGTCCTACTATCCTACCACCACTAATACAGTTGTCCTACTATGAAATCACCACTAACACAGTTGTCCTAATATAAAACCACCACTAATACAGTTGTCCTATCATGAAACCACTACTAATACAGTTGTCCCACTATCCTGCCACCTCTAATTCAGTGGTCCTACTATCCTGTCACCCCTAATACAGTTGTCCTACTATCCTGCCACCACCAATACAGTTGTCCTACTATCCTGGCACCACTAATACAGTTGTCCTACTATCCTGCCACCACCAATACAGTTGTCCTACTATCCTGCCACCACTAATACAGTTGTCCTACTATGAAATCACCACTAATACAGTTGTCCTAATATAAAACCACCACTAATACAGTTGTCCTATCATGAAACCACCACTAATACAGTTGTCCCACTATCCTGCCACCACTAATATAGTTGTCCTGATATGAAACCACCACTAATACAGTTGTCCTAATATGAAACCACTACTAATACATTTGTCCTAATATAAAACCACCACTAATACATTTGTCCTAATATAAAACCACCACTAATACAGTTGTCCTAATATAAAACCACCACTAATACAGTTGTCCTAATATGAAACCACTACTAATACATTTGTCCTAATATAAAACCGCCACTAATACATTTGTCCTAATATAAAACCACCCCTAATACATTTGTCCTAATATAAAACCACCACTAATACAGTTTTCCTACTATGAAACCACCACTAATACAGTTGTCCTAATATGAAACCACTACTAATACATTTGTCCTAATATAAAACCGCCACTAATACAGTTGTCCTAATATAAAACCACCACTAATACAGTTTTCCTACTATGAAACCACCACTAATACAGTTGTCCTAATATGAAACCACTACTAATACATTTGTCATAATATAAAACCACCACTAATACATTTGTCCTAATATAAAACCACCACTAATACATTTGTCCTAATATAAACCCACCACTAATACATTTGTCCTAATATAAAACCACCCCTAATACAGTTGTCCTATCATGAAACCACCACTAATACAGTTGTCCTATCATGAACCCACCACTAATACAGTTGCCCCACTATCCTGCCACCACTAATACAGTTGTCCTGATATAAAACCACCACTAATACAGTTGACCTACTATCCTGGCACCACTAATACAGTTGTCCCACTATCCTGCCACCACTAATACAGTTGTCCTGATATAAAACCACTACTAATCTTGTTGTCACAGGCCCTATTAAGCTATTCCTTATTTGTTTGGATTTTCAAGGATTTGCTGAATATGAACTGAAATTTGGCTTAAGTTACACAATCATCAACCAATCACATTGCTCGTTACAGAGACTAATGGTTAAAGAGTCTAATTATACAAACCTGTCTCTGTTGAGATGAGCGTCCCCACTGGTCGGCTGTATGTCCCCCGTTAACATTTTGAATGTTGTTGTTTTTCCTGCTCCATTCACCCCTAATAGTCCAAAGCACTAGGAACGGGTAAAAAAGAAAGATCACTTTACTTCAATTCAATTTTCTAAAAGAACTAAAAGAACATTTCCATTAAATCAAAACGATCCCAAATTGTGATAATCAGATATTTGTTACAATAGATAAAAGGATTAGGTCCCAACAACAGAGAGTAGAATTAGGTTATACATGTATCAGCAATCTTTTTATATTTGCTTAATTTGTCACAAATCTTTTATCTAAAGCATTTTTACTTCTCCGAAGGCACTATTCCAAGCCTCTTACCTCCCCTGAGGGTACTCCGAGACACAATCTGTCCACTGCGAGGTGGCGTCCGAGCTTCCGTGTTTTATACACCTGTAAAACATGATTAACATAAGATAATTATACAATGAATCATTCTTAGTTAGAGTTAGCTAGAACTGACAAAAAATATCTTCTATCAAAAAGTGTTTTCAGATATCACACTTGTACTATCTAGTCAGACACCTGGGCCCAGTTGTTCAAAAGGTGGTTAGCTAAAAGTAACAGTTTAACGACATTTTATAACCTTTAATAATTTTGTCAATATACCACGGAAAATCTCACAATTTTGCATGTACATTCACTCAACTGAATACTTGATACCTAGAAAGTCGTAACTAATTCAAAGGTTGAGTCTTAAAGATACACAAAAATTAAGATTTGCACTAATCACTGATCACCTTTTGAACAACTGAGCCCTGGTGAATCTTACCATAGTGATACATACAGCCAGTTTTCAGGCCATATAATACAAGGACCTATATTTCAAACGGTGATAATACAAGATTTGGCATCACTCCAGTAGCCAAACTCCAAACAAGATTTATGAAACCAGGCTCCGCAGATATCTAATTATTATACTACATGTTCTTGCCTTTTTCAGATTCTGCATCAGTAGTGTTACGACTATTTCTTACCTTTGTGAGGTTTTCAATCCTAATGAGGTCGTAACGACCACTTCCTCGTAACAACCGCTTCCTCTCCGTAGCAACATCTATATCCTCATCTGCCAGACTGGACAGCGAGTGGGGTTTACGCCTTATTCGAGTAAAACACAAGTCAGTCATCAATCTAACTGGTATCCAATTTCACAGACATATATGATTTCATAACTAATCTCGTGAATTCCAAGAAAAATTGGTCACAAAAATATGAAACATCTTACTATACTCGATTTTTTTCTAAACAACATCTATATAGCATGTCAGCTATAATGCTCACCTGTAGCTACTTTTGATGAAAAATTTAAATTCTAATAGCAACGTCAGTAGGAAGAAGCTGACCCCAACAATGGCCATTGCAACAAGGTTTCTAGAGGTCAACTCCCAGGTGAAGGGGCTTTTGATCTGGTTGTACTGTCCTGCAAACAAAAATATTATAATTTATTGTAGTGCCTGAAATCTCAACCTCTCTCAATTTCATTTCTCAAAAGAAAATTTAAAACGATAACTAGACAATGTCCTACAGATCGGAAAGGTACTACAGACAACATCTGTGAGAGAAGCATGACCCTAGAAAAATGGCTGAAAGACACGAATGACCCCATTGCTGTTCCTTCTTCCATTTATAAGTTAAACACTTTCTTTTCAAAACAATTGTGACCTTGACCTTTGACTCAAGACATTAAAGTACACTATTGTATAGGGTATCATAGGTAAGGAACACTTGTGTGAAGTTTCATTACATTGTGACCGAAAGTAAGGATGATAGATCAGCGCCAACGATTTTCTATTCATCGACTTCACAACAGAAAACGTAAGCACTTAAAGGTATTTTTTATCCAAACATGATGGAAAATGAGGACTTGCGAGAAATCACAAGAATTGTCTAACTAATAACAGAGATCTTGACCTTTGCACAAGGGTACTTGTGTGGTGTTTCATCAATATCTGTCTGAAAAATGGAGGACAGTGAAGGGAAATCAAACATTTTCTGTAAATCATAACATTGACCTTATCTTTGGACATGGATCCTGATACATGGACTTGTATGAGGTATTGCAGTACTGAATCTTGTACTGTATTAAATTTCATCTTACTTCACCAGGACAAATGAACAGATATGGGCAACATTATAATTACATACATTTCCCATTTCCTGGGAAGGGAGGGGGCATAAAAAAGTGGATTGTAAAAGTGGATAATCTATTTGTTTTAAAAGACTGACCTGTTTTGAAGAAGAATTCATTTTTGTATTCATTGAATGCAATGTCCATGAGTCCTCGTCCCAGACAGTAGTTGGGGAACATGAGGAACACATCTTTGAGGATCAGATGGATTCTGTTCAGGTCCTGTGAAGTAAAAAAACAAAAGTTTTTTAAATACACTAAATGTAAGAACAATTTTACATTATTTAAAATCAGGAGACAGTACAGAAAGAATATCCTTAGGCAGAAGTTACCTCTCTTCACAGGTTTCTGTTACTATAACATGTTTTTTAACTGACCTTTAACTGACCTTGTCGTAGATATTTTACAGATAGTGGTCATTATACACAAGTGACCTCTATACATGTCTGTAAATAGATTTTATCGTAGAGCAACATTGGACTGACCTTGTCGTAGGAGAAGATTTCTAGGAGGAAGCTGCAAACGATACAGGTGATGCCGGTGAAGAGGTTGATGACAATGAGACAGATATAGGCTGTACTTGGTTCCTTGAACAGGAAAGAGGCTGGATACATCACCGGGGTAATGGACCACCTGTAAAAGTAATGAATATGTTAGTAAATGTACAACTGGAAAACCTTTGTGGAATGGTTAAAATATTACAGACCATTCACAACATTCAGGATAATTTTTCTAATATTAATGACTTATCACAATTTATTATATACAGTGCTTTTATTTCAAAATTTATGTATTCATACAACAGATCATCCTCTTACATACAGGTAAATAACTAATACATAACAGTACAGGTAAATCAAGTGTATAGGTATATCACCCCTACAGGTTAAACACCTGTACAGGTAAATCTCCCATACAGGTAAATCACTTGTGCAGGCAAATCAATTGTACAGGTAGATCACCCATACAGGTACAAAGTTAGACAAACACAAGAGTGAAATTTACATTTGTCAACTATAAATGTAAATTACATATATTAACTCATACTGGCATAAAGTATTTACCCACACAGGTAATCACTAATACAGGTAAATTACCCAAATAGGTATATCACCCATACAGGTAAAATTAACAAAAATAAATCACCCATACAGTCAGATCAACCATACTGTTTAAAACATCCTTAGAAGTACCAATTATAGTCATCAATATACATATATTAATTTAGGTACCAGATCCTGGTAGCCAGGTACACTCACCCATACAGGAGGAACAGGGACACCACAGCTGGCATGTTCTGTGGTGAAGTGTATGCTGGGATATGAAACACTTGGAGGATCATGATGATACAGAATGCTGGGATGGTATAGTTACACTGGAATAGAAAAAAGGAATCAATAACACTATAAGAATACATCCCATAATAATGAGGTGGGAATACATCCCATAATAGTAGAGGTGGGAATACATCCCATAATAGTGATGTCATGTTGGAATACATCCCATTACAGTGAGGTGGGAATACATCCCATAATAGTGAGGTGGGAATACATCCCATAATGGTAGAGGTGAGAATACATCCCATGATAGTAGAGGTGGGAATACTTCCCATAATAGTGAGGTGGGAATACTTCCCATAATAGTGAGGTGGGAATACATCCCATAATAGTGAGGTGGGTATACATCCCATGATAGTGATGTGGTAATACATCCCATTATAGTGAGGTGGGAATACACCCCATAATAGTGAGGTGGGAATACATCCCATAATGGTAGAGGCGAGAATACATCCCATGATAGTAGAGGTGGGAATACTTCCCATAATAGTGAGGGGGGAATACATCCCATAATTGTGAGGTGGGAATACATCACATAATAGTAGAGGTGGGAATACATCCCATAATAGTGATGTGGGAATACATCCCATGATAGTGAGGTGGGAATACATCCCATAATAGTGATGTGGGAATACATCCCATTATAGTGAGGTGGGAATGCATCCCATAATAGTGAGGTTGGAATACATCCCATAATAGTGATGTGGTAATACATCCCATTATAGTGAGGTGGGAATACATACTATTATACTGAGGTTGGAATACATCCCATAATAGTGAGGTGGGAATACATCCCATAATGGGAGAGGTGAGAATACATCCCATGATAGTAGAGGTGGGAATACTTCCCATAATAGGGAGGTGGGAATACTTCCCATAATAGTGAGGGGGGAATACATCCCATAATTGTGAGGTGGGAATACATCACATAATAGTAGAGGTGGGAATACATCCCATAATAGTGATGTGGGAATACATCCCATAATAGTGAGGTGGGTATACATCCCATGATAGTGATGTGGTAATACATCCCATTATAGTGAGGTGGGAATACATCCCATAATAGTAGAGGTGGGAATACATCCCATAATAGTGAGGAGGGAATACATCCCATAATGGTAGAGGTGAGAATACATCCCATGATAGTAGAGGTGGGAATACTTCCCATAATGGTGAGGTGGGAATACTTCCCATAATAGTGAGGGGGGAATACATCCCATAATTGTGAGGTGGGAATACATCACATAATAGTAGAGGTGGGAATACATCCCATAATAGTGAGGTGGGAATACATCTCATAATAGTGAGGGGGGAATAAATCCCATAATAGTGATGTGGGAATACATCCCATGATAGTGAGGTGGGAATACATCCCATAATAGTGAGGTGGGAATACATCCCATAATAGTGAGGTGGGAATACATCCCATAATAGTAGAGGTGGGAATGCATTCCATAATAATGAGGTGGGAATACATCCCATAATAGTGAGGTAGGAATACATCCCATTATAGTGATGTCATGTTGGAATACATCCCATTATAGTGAGGTGGGAATACATCCCATAATAGTGAGGTGGGAATACATCTCATAATAGTGAGGGGGGAATAAATCCCATAATAGTGATGTGGGAATACATCCCATGATAGTGAGGTGGGAATACATCCAATAATAGTGAGGTGGGAATACATCCCATAATAGGGAGGTGGGAATCCATCCCATAATAGTGAGGTGGGAATACATCCCATGATAGTGAGGAAGGAATACATCCCATAATAGTGAGGTGAGAATACATCCCATAATAGTGAGGTGGAAATACATCAAATAATAGTGAGGTGGGAATACATCCCATAATAGTGAGGGGGAAATACATCCCATAATTGTGAGGTGGGAATACATCCCATAATAGTAGAGGTGGGAATACATCCCATTATAGTGAGGTGGGAATACATCCCATAAGAGTGGGAATACATCCCATAATAGTGAGGGGGAAATACATCCCATAATTGTGAGGTGGGAATACATCCCATAATAGTAGAGGTGGGAATATTTCCCATAATAGTGAGGTGGGAATACTTCCCATAATAGTGTGGTGGGAATGCATCCCATAATAGTGAGGGGGGAATACATCCCATAATTGTGATGTGGGAATACATCCCATAATAGTGAGGTGGGAATACATCTCATAATAGTGAGGGGGGAATAAATCCCATAATAGTGATGTGGGAATACATCCCATAATAGTAGAGGTGGTAATCCATCCCATAATAGTAGAGGTGGGGAGACATCCCATAATAGTAGAGGTGGAAATACATCCCATAATAGTGATGTGGGAATACATCCCATTATAGTGATGTCATGTTGGAATACATCCCATTATAGTGAGGTGGGAATACATCCTATTATAGTGAGGTGGGAATTCATCCCATAATAGTGAGGTGGGAATACTTTCCATATTAGTGAGGTGGGAATACATCCCATGATAGTGAGGTGGGAATACATCCCATAATAGTAGAGTTGGGAATACATCCCATAATAGTGAGGTGTGAATACATCCCATAATAGTGAGGTGGGTATACATCCCATGATAGTGATGTGGTAACACATCCCATTATAGTGAGGTGGGAATACATCCCATAACAGTAGAGGTGGGAATACATCCCATAATAGTGAGGGGGGAATACTTTCCATAATAGTGAGGTGGGAATACATCCCATAATAGTGAGGTGGGAATACTTTCCATAATAGTGAGGTGGGAATACATCCCATGATAGTGAGGTGGGAATACATCCCATAATAGTGAGGTGGGAATGCATCCCATAATAGTGAGGTGGGAATACAGCCCATAATAGTGAGGTGGGAATACATCCCATAATAGTGAGGGGGGGAGACATCCCATAATTGTGAGGTGGGAATACATCCCATAATAGTAGAGGTGGGAATCCATCCCATTATAGTGATGTCATGTTGGAATACATCCCATTACAGTGAGGTGGGAATACATCTCATAATAGTGAGGGGGGAATGCATCCCATAATAGTGAGGTAGGAATACATCCCATAATAGGGAGGAGGGAATACATCCCATAATAGTGAGATGGGAATACATCCCATAATCGTGATGTGGTAATCCATCCCATTATAGTGATGTCATGTTGGAATCCATCCCATTATAGTGATGTCATGTTGGAATACATCCCATTATAGGGAGGTGCGAATACATCCCATAATAGTGAGGTGGGAATACATCCCATAATAGTACAGGTGGGAATACATCCCATTATAGTGATGTCGTGTTGGAATACATCCCATCATAGTGAGGTGGGAATACATCCCATTATAGTGAGGTGGGAATACATCCCATAATAGTAGAGATGGGAATACATCCCATAATAGTAGAGGTGGGAATACATCCCATGATAGTGATGTGGGAATACATCCCATAATAGTGAGGTGGGAATACATCCCATAATAGTGATGTCATGTTGGAATACATCCCATTATATTGAGGTCGGAATACATCCCATTATAGTGATGTCATGTTGGAATACATCCCATTATAGTGAGGTGGGAATACATCCAATTATAGTGAGGTGGGAATACATCCCATTATAGTGAGGTGGGAATACTTCCCATAATAGTAGAGGCGGGAATACATCCCATAATAGTAGAGGTGGGAATACCTTCCATAATAGTGAGGTGGGAATACTTCCCATAATAGTGAGGTGGGAATACATCCCATAATAGTGAGGAGGGGGGAATACATCCCATAATAGTGATGTGGGAATACATCCCATGATAGTGATGTGGGAATACATCCCATAATAGTGATGTCATGTTGGACTACATCCCATAATAGTAGGGGCGGGAATACATCCCATGATAGTAGAGGTGGGAATACATCCCATAATAGTGATGTGGGAATACATCCCATAATAGTGAGGTGGGAATACATCCCATAATAGTGATGTGGGAATACATCCCATAATAGTGAGGAGGTGGGAATACATCCCCTAATAGTGAGGGGGGAATACATCCCATAATAGTGATGTGGGAATACATCCCATAATAGTGAGGGGGGAATGCATCCCATAATAGTAGAGGTGGGAATACATCCCATAATAGTGAGGTGGGAATACATCACTATTATGGGAATACATCCCATGATAGTGATGTGGGACTACATCCCATAATAGAGAGGTGGGAATAGATCCCATAATAGAGAGGTGGGAATAAATCCCATAATAGTGAAGTGGGAATACATGCCATAATAGTGAGGTGGGAATACATCCCATAATAGTGAGGGGGGAATAAATCCCATAATAGTGAGGGGGGAATGCATCCCATAATAGTAGAGGTGGGAATACATCCCATAATAGTGAGGTGGGAATACATCCCATAATAGTGTTTGAAAATATTTGTTTACCCTTTGATACTAACATGGAAGCACAAATTGTATAGTCATAATTACATTAATAACAGAATAGAATTAATATTAAATATGTTGACATAGTTACCATATCCCACACGTAGTTACCAAGCCAGTACATGACTGGGTCAATGCCACTGACAAACTGTAGATGCTTGGCCTTGATGGAACGCTCATACACCAGGAATACGACAAAACTGGCCGGCACAAACGACATGGCAACAATGATGAAGATGGAGATGAGAACATCGGATCCCTGGAGACTGCATGGCAGCAAGAAAGGAACACCAGGTCAATATGTTATTATTCAAGTATTGTATGATTATTCAAGTATTGTATGATACTGTAAATCAGTTAAGCAATAAGACACATTTAATGAATTCAACTGTTGAGGAAAGAAAAGCATTGGAATCTAGGGGAAAATGTAAACAGTCAAAATCATCAGCTATCCCTTTCCTCAATTATCAGTTTTTTTATTTACTGACACATATGTACTACTTATCTAAATGAAAGTCTGTTTTATTGTGTTGTATTATATGAACATGTATATTCATATGGAAACCTCAGTACAATATATGATTTTGTATTGGTTTGTCATTGAAGGGGGGGGGGTTCTGGCAACATATCACAAACTGGCACAGTGCATCTCTAAATTCATTTTGAAAGGTTTCACTTACCTATCTGAAGCATAAATGTGCCAGTGTTATACAAACAATGTTAAAAATCACTTATTAAATCTGTGACAGTCACTTGACATAATCAAAGGCACTGCACAATTTTACAAAACTCAGGATTTGATAAATACTTACATGTAGTCTTTATTGAGCTTGTTGTTGGTCTGATTTAGGGGATGGTTAATCACAGTTATACCTGAAATATGGACCAAACATGTCTATAATACCAATTCACTGGACATACGTAACACCTGTCTGTTATATGTTCATACACATTTCATTGGCGTATGAAGAGGCACCACATATTTTTTGTCATTAATTTAATTGTTTTGATCCTCGTGTATCCTTAAGGAGCACTATCACAAATCCCCAAAATTGAACCAGAAATGCTTCTGCTTCTGTTAAGAGCAGTATTATTTACAGATCAGCTACCAATTGGTTACTGGGAATTTATAGAAGGAATCACTTAACTCACCATATGCAGCCGGGTGTCCCTTGGACTTGGGAAGATTGGCTCTCAGAATGGCATTATTGATGGTGTTGAGAAAGACCGGCATAGCATGGTAGCCCTTGTGATTGTACCAAGCCTTGGCCACTCGCCTCACAGCAAACTTGCGAAACATCGTCGGGGCAGATTTTCCAAAACCTTCAGGGACCACGTTGCTCTCCAAACCAAATGAAAATGCTCCATATCTAAAAACATTTTTTTTTTAATTTTTAGTTTTATGATTGTTCACAAAATCGATTTTTCATTTTTGTAGCCTACATTCAATTAAAGTAAAATTCCCAATGGTCCTCAAATTTCTTTGTCCTGTTAACAGTGTTTTTCAACCAAGATTTTACAACAGCCTGTTCTACATGAATTGGGAAAATATGGCATTATTGTTATTCAAATTTGGAAGACATTCCTCTGGTTTCTTTATTACTACAAGCAATTTATTTAGCTAGGGTAAGCAGCCGGAATTTGGCTGTAAAAATGTGGGCAAACAATAAAAATAACCTTCCCGTGAATTAAAATAACTATATAAAGGAGTATGCATTATATACAGAGCATCGGCAGCTAACAACTTTGTTCTAATTCGATACCTGTGTAGTCGATACAAGGCGTCCTGGGTGTACAGGAGGAACTTCTCAGTGTTGGTCCCTGTGACGTTCTGGACTTTGTCCCTGGTTACCACCTGGAAATCTGGTGGATGGGAAAATGTGCTGGATCCCGGACAGACGAAGCCCGATTTATCTTTTGCACAGTGACAGGTAGGGTAGTACTTAATCTCCTCTGATGGGCTCTCTACAGGGCATGACATAAACCAGAAGTTAACAATACAATACAGTCAATAATACATGTATTTCTTCTGCAACTAGTTTAGTTTTAAAACAGTTAAAATATATGACTTGTATATCAAACACCAATACATAAATATTCATTTGTAAAAAGATCACTGTATAAAGCTTCAAATTATTATTATTTCTGTGTTTTTTCATCAAAATATTAATACACGTGTGGTGAAGATTTAGCTGCAAAACAGGTAGGTCAGTTGTGTCAGATAGTTTGATTGAAATTGACCTGAAAAAATTACTAGAGCACATTTATCTGACTACTAATTTTAAACATGTATTTGTAGGCCTCTTGTTCAGTTTCAGTACGTAAGCAACAATACTTCAATATCTTAATATTGACAAGATCGTAAAACGATATCTGGATCTGGAAATTGTTTCCGCTGTGGATGAATTTTCGGGTTGAATAATTCAACAAAAATAACACTACTGCAAAAAGAACCCAATAAATAGTATCTACTTGTTCTTTGTAATTTAGGTAAGTACCTGGTGAAGGAATCGTGTAATTGTCATCTAAGTTGTCCTCGTTGTTGATAATCTGTACTCTGGGGACATAGCTCTTTATGTGTATCCCCGACACAAACACCTTTCCGCACTGTGTCTCGTAGTACCGGTATAACAACTCGAACTGTTTCTGGTTTCCTGTGATGTTGCTGGGGTTGTGAAAGCCAAATGTGCGATCATGTGTAGACTTCAAAACACAAGTCGCACCCACACCAGACGCCAAGTGAAATGTCTGCATCAGTTCCAAAGGACCTGCATCCAACGAGTCGGAATAGTTTGTAATCCTCGGATTTTCATTTGTATAAGGAATGTAGTTTCCTTTAGGTTGAGTGACATTGAAGTATTGTGAAGGGCTCAATTCAATTGGAGGAGGGTCCTTAACCTTCGGAGCAGACAGAGCCACGGTCATGGCGACAGACACAAACAAAGCTGGCAGAATGATCTGAGAGAAAAGTCCCTTGTAGTTACGTGTGATGTAGTGAAATCGTTTTATAAGCACAGCTCTCAGCTGATTCAGACGTAGCCATTTCTTGCTGAGGCGATAGGTTCCATTTCCATTACAGCTGGAAGGACCGTCTCGTTCTGGTCCTGCAAACACAGAAATATTTTTTAATATGTAATCAATTTCAAGCACTGATCCAGAGATTGGTGGGGTACACTCAGCTCAATTACAACTCAATGCACCCTAAGATAAACAAGAGGCCCAGAGGGCCTGTATCGCTCACCTGGAGAATAAAGCAACCATGGGAAATTATTCTTATTACATAAAATATCTCCAATGGTAATCAGAGGAAGAAAGATTTTAAAGATTTAAACCTCAAATTCCCCTATTGGGCCCCAGAGGATCCACACCCTCCAATTATACAAATTTTAGTCCCCTTTGCCAAAGGAAACTCCATGTCAAATGTGGATAAAATTCCTCCAATAGTACAGAAGGAGAAGGAGAAGGATTTTAATGATTTTAATCTCAAATTCACCTTTTGAGCCCTGCCCCTCTGCATCCAGTGGGGACACAGTGCAGAGGGGCCACACCTGATGTTTATACAAAATAAAGTTGCCTTTGCCCAAGGATGCTCCAGGCCAAGCTTGGATAAAATCCCTCCAATGGTACAGAAGGAGAAGGATTTTAAAGATTTAAACCTCAAACTCCCCTCTTGAGCCCAGCCCCTCTGCACCAAAAGGGGCCATACCCACCGTTTATACAAAATTGATTCAACTTGGCCCAAGGATGCTCAAGACCAAATTAGGATAAAATCCCTTTTTCCCTATGATAGAAGAATGTCAAAGATTTTACCTCTATTTCCCCTATTGGACCCGCCCCTCTGCCCCCAGGGGGTACAAACTCACAGTTTACACAAAATTGAGTCCCCTTGGCCTAAGGATGCTCCAGACCAAATTTGGATAAAACCCCATAATCTTTATGGTAGATAAGGATTTTAAAGGTTTTACCTCTATTTCCCATATTGAACCCCACCCCTCTGCCCCCACGAGGGCCACAGTCACCGTTTATACAAAATTGAATGTCCTTGGCCTAAGGGTGCTCCAGACCAAATTTAGTTAAAATCTACTGGGCTGTTCAGGACTAGTAGTGTTTTAAAGGAAAAGTTGATTGACGGACGACAGACGACGGATGCCGCTCCTTCGGACCAGTTATGCTAAAAAGAGGCCAAAAGGATTTAATAGCTCACTTGCTTTTTTCCCCTAAAATGATATAGAGGATCTGTCATAAGTTTCACTTCATATTAGATTTATGATACAAGTTTTAAAATCCAAAACGAGTATCATAAATTTAATATGAAGGGAAACAAATGACAGATTCTTTTTACCATATAATACAAAGTAAACTGTATAACTGTGATCTAAGACGAATATTTTGCACTTGGCCGCCTCTGAAACGATGAAAATAGCGTCCGCTTCACAATGACGTGACGTCACATTGATTATTCCTATTCAATTGTGACGTCATTTCCGAGTGATATTACACACATTACATTAACATTATTTATGTGATGGCTTTATGACACTGCATAACATATGTAGAAAATAGTGGTAACTTTCTTAGGCGGATCCATGCGTGGATTCGCAAGAGCTCCTCACTAATTTAACATTATGAATCAAACGGAGGCCAAAAAGCCTTTATAGTTCACCTGCTCTTTTTCCCTACAAAAAATATTATATTATTTATAACATCAGCACTGCTCATCTGCCCACAGTGGAACCACATTGAATCCCCTTGGCTCTGGTTGGCACCAATATATCAAATTAGTCAAAATCACTTTAGCCAAAATGGACAAAAATATTTTTTTTATGGGAAGCTTAATGATTAATGAATACCCTGCCATTAATTGGAGCACATGGTATTTTGTTACGCAACAACACATACTCATTCCCCCCCCCCCCCCCCCCCCCCCCCCCC